GAAAGAAAAAAGACTGAAGTCCAAATAAGATCTTATTAGATGATGGAAGTATTTCAAATCATATTATTCAATGAATTATATAAAGAAAACTGTCACATTTTTGCTTAAAGCTGGTGACTTCCTATCTCCATCAGATTGAAATCCAAGTTCCTTGGTCCAAAAGTTTGTACATGGATCTGGCCCCTGATAACCTCTCTGATATCATTTCCTTTCATCCTCCTTCCTCACTTCCCACCTGGACACACTAGGCTTCTCCCTCCAGGTACATATTGTCTCAAGGCATTAACACCATGGTTTTTACCCTCACTTTATTTAGGTGTTTACTCAAATGCCATCTGTTCTGAGAGATCTTCTCTATTCACCTAATAAGGTAGTATGTCCAAGAGTCTACTTTCCCTACTTTGCTTTTTTTCAAAGAATCACATGGCCTGATGTATGTATAAAGTCTGTTAGGAAGAAAGAAATAAGAATTTGGGTCCACCCGGCGGTAAGCTGTATGGGAGCAAGGACTTTGTGCCTACTTATTTCCCCTTTTTATAAAGGTGTCATAATCATTTCCAGTCTTGCCTCTGATTTAGCACCAAGGTATGAGAGATTTCCAATATCACCATGGAACAATATAAGATCTGATTCTAGATTGGTGGCCCAAAGAAGAGGGGTGACTGTTTCTATGCAACAGAATGTAAGTTGCAAGAGAATAGAGACTTTGACAGTTTTCTTCACTGCCTGGTCAAGGCTGAGCCTCCTTCTGACTCAAAGCAAGCAGGTGTGATACAATAATACTACCATGGAACAACCCATAACTTGATTCTAGTCTAGGAACACAGAAAACTAGGGGGTAAAAGCATAGTAGGTGAACACAGTACATTGATTTTTTTTCTGTCTTCTTTCCACTAAGACATACTTTCATATTTTGCTCACTGCTGTATACTTAACCTCTAAAACAGAGTTAGAAATATGCTGAATCCTTCCTTTGATTAACAAGCTGTGGGATATCTCCAAATCACTGTAAAATAATACATGGCCTAAAGGTGGTGGGAACTCTCTTCCTTTCCCCACTAGGATATATGCTCTAAAACAGTAGAGATTTTGTCTAGATTTTTCCCTGTTCTATCTTCAGGTCCTAGGCCAGTGTTGAGCCTCTGTCATGAAACAACATAATGCTTGGTTCAGGAATTGAGGCCTAGTGGGAAAGGAGTGACTAGGAAGCATTATTCTTACATGTCTAAAAAGCATATACATTTGTATTGTTTTTTCACCTAACGTATGCATCCCTCTAACCTTTTAGTTATAACTAAAAAGTTTACACATTTTTAATTCTTTTATACCCATTTTATGTCCTTTATACCCATCTTTACTATTGGACTGAAGGCTACTTAAAGGATAAAAGACCATGTGTTAAGAAAACTTTTTATTTTGTCCATTGCTATGTCCCAAAGTCTTAAAACAGTGCCAAGATTAAGGCCAATTTTCCTCTGAGTGTCAGAATGTGGGGTATCCCCACAATAATATCACGGGAAAGTGTAAGGCCTCATTCTGATCTTGAAGTCAGGGGTGGTGGTTGATATCTGCCTCAGCTACCACCAAGATACAGTCTTCATGAGAACTTAAATTTTGTCTTTCTTAGTCAATAGTCAGTGTTGTGGCTAGGGCCAAGCATTCCTGAGTGTCCAAAGTGGTAAAAGTATCTATACCAGTAACTAGTATTCTAGGTTGATGTTATTGGTTGTTTTTGTTGTTGAAATCCATCTTCCAATTAGAAAAAAAATTTTCTATAATAAAATACAAAATAAATTACACATGATTTAAAGTTTCCCATTTATGTCAAAATTTATAAAAGCACAAAAACCAATACTATTATCTATTATGATTGGTTATATTTGAAGTAAATGTATAAGACAGACAAGATTCACACCAAATTTATGTTAGTGTTTGCCTCAGCAGAGTGAGGATACTTTCTGGGAAAGGGATTTATTATATGTAATGTTCTGACTTTTAAAGAATATAAATCTATATCTAAAACAAGTATACAAGAATGTTGATATTTTAATTGTTAAATATGGACTTTTTTTTAATTTGGGACAACAGTAAACAAATGTTATATTTTATACACTCTCCATATTAGGTTTTAATTTTTCAAAATAAATAAAATACAAAGAGAATTTAAAACACTAGTATAGCTGATTTATTACAATGTTTTCAAAATTGAATATATTTAGGAAATATGCATATATATGCAATATGCAAGGACATAAAGCATCTGAATAATACAATCAAGAAGCTTAATAATAGAGAGAACTTTAAATTTTGTATTTTATAGTAACCATACATTCTTTTTTAATAAAAAGTTTAAATTAGCCAGTTACTATTTGAGAGATAAAAAGGCTGATTAAAGATCTACCATCAAAAGTGGCACCATAATTACATTATTTTATAGTTTAGTACTAGGTAAGTTTCAAAGAACAACTGGAACTTGAATTAAAACTTTTCTAAATACAAAGAAAATATAATTATAATGCTGCTTAAACTATTTCAGACCACAGAAAAAGACTCACAAATTTATTTTTAAAGCTAGCACAATTTGAAAAACAAAACTTGATAAAGACAGGGTAAGAAAAAAAAACTGCAGTTTCACTTTGAAATGTAAATGCAATAATTCTGAATAAAAACTTTGTAAGTAAAATCCAGCAATGTATCAAATGATTATTACAACATGAACAAGTAGGATTTATTTCAAAAACACAAGTTTGGTTCAACATCAAATACTGACTCCTCTAATTCATTACATCAACAGATGAATGGGAAAAAAATCATCTGATTTTATCAATGGATGCTGAAAGACATTTTATAAACTTCAGGACCCAATTTTTAGTAAGCTCCTTAACAGGAAACAGGAATACAAAAGAATAGAAGAAACTCCTTAAGCATTTTAGTGATTAATGACTCTTTACCAATAACCAACAATAAATGTCATATAAATAGGGAATACTAAAGACAATTCTATGAAAATTACACCAGACAGGCATATCTGTCATAATCATTATTCAACATTATTTTGAATAAATAAAATTATCTGTATTTGCAGGTGAAATGATTGTTACAAAGAAGGTTGAAAATGTTATACTTTTAAAAAATTGTAATTTAGAGAATTTAATAAGCTGATTATAAGGTAAAATATATTTTTAAAAAGTATCTGTAGTTTGTCTATATTGTCAAAAATAAGTTACAAATGAGGAGGAGAAAATACCCAATTCAAAATATCAAGATGTGACAAAATCTGTAAAATATATTTAGAAATAAATTTAATCATATATAATAGACCTATATGAAGATTACAAATACAAAACCAAAAGATTTTAATGATGTACCCAAACTCGAGTCTTAAGGATTAATATTATTAAAATAATCTTCTAAATAGAAATTCAGAAATGTAACACAATTATAAGATCAGAATGCTGAAAGAATGCTTTTAATTTTCATAGAAGGAATGAATGTCTACAACAAGTTATATGAAAGAAAAAACGGGAAAAATAAACTTAATGAGAGGTAACTTGTTTTGCCAGAGTTCAAAATTTATGGTCAAGCCATTGGTGTTAAACAATAGGATACAGGCTCACAAACTCTAAAATGAGTATTTTATTTAATAAATATGATAGCATAATCAGGAATCCAATGTAAGCAAAATGTATAGGTGGACCTTTATCTTATACCACATACAAAATAAATTTTAGAAAAAAATGTAGGTGAATTTTTGTATGATGTGGAGTGGGGGCATTTATCTGAAAAAGACAGGAAACCAAAAAGCTGAAAAGGAGATAGTAGTCTATCTAGAAATGTTTTTAAAAAATCAACAACTGTAAAGTAAAAGATAATATCAATAAAGTCAAGATCAATGATAGAATGCAAAAAATACAAATGGGCCACATGTTTAATATGTACCATAGAGAAATATAGTAAGAATTCCTATAAACTTATAAGACAAGATTCAATAGATAATGAGCAAAGGATAAGCACTGGCAAAGCACAAAAGAAAAAAATTCAAACAGTCAACGAAACAAAACAAAACACCTCCTTGAGTTTGTCAACTAAAAGAAAGTACTATGTAACTTTTCACCTTCTAGATTTGCAAATTTTGCAGGAGAGGATACTGGAGAATGAGCACTTTAATTTTGTATAGTAATTTTGTAATATCTCTTAACATTAAATATATCAGTTACCTAGCAATTCCATTTCTGAGAATCTACGCAATAGAAATAAAAGCACCAGTATGTATTGCAACACTGCTATGGTGAAATAAAAGAAAGGAAAAGATGTAAGTGATTATCAATAACAGAATGGTTGAATACTTTTTTGGTACATAAATGTGCTGTATATGCAACTGCTAGAGGGAAGGAGAGAGAGAAAAAAAGTCAGAGGGGAATAGGGAATGGAGAGGAGGGGAAATGGAAAGGGGGACAGAGAGAGAGAGATTTGTAGCTGCTGATTAAAAAAGATACCATGAATATTCCAAATGTGAAAAACAATTACAGAGAAATGATGTGGCTTTTCATTTTTACAGAAAAGACTACAACAAACTTTCTGTAAGTGGATGGGAAAACGTGGAAGGATATACATCATGTTCTTAACACTTGTTACCTGGGAAGAAGAAAACGGAGATAATATAATGAGGGAAATGAGGGAAAGGACCAGGTTTGGAGTTACACCATTAATTTTTCTTTAGTTTTTCATTGTTCCAATGGTCATGAATACTTTTCAATTTCCTATTAGCACCCAACTTAAATCTTCAGTTACAGAACAAGGCAATATCAAAAGTACAAATGTAAACTTGGGACGAAACTGTGGAACTAGTCAATGTATGATTTGGAGGCACAATAAGTAATAATTAATAATAAATTCCTGAATCTCTGACACCAAAACTGTTCTCAAAAATTCACAATTGCAAGAACATGACATATTTTACATTTAATAGTTCCACAACTTTTGCAAAGAGCACAATGAATTTAGGGCGTTTTCACCAAGCCGTAGACATAAATGTGAATATCATCATCAAACTTAATGAAGTAGACGGACGGCTTTGCCACCACTTGATGGATAAAAATGCCGGTTCTCTTGGACCCATCATCTTTGGCATGTTCCACTTGCTTGCCCACGAGGCTGTCGACCACTTCTCCAGGCTCCCGTTCTGCTGTAGGGAAATAGTAGTTGGAATCTGGAATGATTCGCAGGTCACCATCTTTGTAGTCATCCAGCAGCGTGTACATATAAAGGACAGGATCTTTCTCGTAGGTGATGTAAAACCAAGTGTCCATCACGGGAGCTCGAGCCAGGACCATGCCTTTCCATTCATCTTTCGTACCGTGCTCACCCTCAAACACATGCCCCACCGCTTTACCAATCAGGAAATCCGCCAGACTCGAATCAATTCGAGGAGTTGGCACTCTCTCAGGAAGGATTTCTAGCGCTAAAACTCTCTTATCTCGGTGCAGTTCTAGTCCATATACACTATCTTTGCCATCATATTTGATGATGTAGAGGGTGGGCTTCACAGAAACCTGCTCAAGAACTGTGCCCTTCCACTGCTCCACCGGCTCGTTGCCTTCCTTCCAGCCGTGTTGAATGCGACAGCCGACGATGTTCCTACGCGTGAGGAAAGTGGGCTTGCGTCTCTGCTTCCTGTGGGTGTGCCTTTTTTTCATCAGGTATGCGGACACGCCATCTACACCCATCGGAGGCACTGTTGGGGGTGACATGGCTCAGGGTTTAAGGAGGTTTAAGCAAAGCTGACACTTGTTCAATTAAGCGGACCAAAAGTCAACACTCTCCAATACGATATCTGTTTTTCGTGATCTCGGAGTCCGTCCTCCCTTCCCCCAATCGAAAGGCTTTCACCAAGTCTTGACAGAAACACTCTAACTCTGAAGGTTGGGCACTGGTACAGAGGGGGCCTTTTGACAGCGTTCTCCTTTCCCGCCCAGGAGAAGTGTCTGCAGCAGTGGCGGTTGCCACAGGAGATGGCGGGCTGGCTTGTACTGCCCACGGCTCGCACCCGCCCCGATTCCCAACTCCAAATCCCAGAATTGACCACTTAGCTGTTATCGATGGTGTTGCAGCTGCGAAACGGTGACTGAGACGACGGGAAAGGTACGCAAGGGTTAAGAGAGTTGACTGTAGCAGCAAAGGCGAAGGAAGCCCTGGGTTTTTGACAAGTCCGCGCGGCCTCAGCTTCTTAGCGCTGCTTTGCTTGGCCTAGCTCTGGCGCCGGGGATTTTGCTGCTTCAGGAATTCGACCCCACTGAGCCAGCCTGCGCCTCGGCCCCGCCCCCTGCCATTTCTCCTTCCGCTTGGCCTGTAGCTGTAGGGCGGGTCGGTGCGCGCACCCGCGTTCAGTCCACACAGTCAAAGGCTCTCATTCCCTCATTTCCTCACGCACTCCGGGACCTCTTCCTTCAAACCCGAGCCAGACTGTCCAGCTCATTTGCTCATTCTTTCTGGCTGCCTGTCGCCTATCAGCCTTTTCCACAGCCATTCCATCTGCTTTCTATCTTACAGGAATTCCTCACAAAGCCTTTAAAAAATAATATTCAATACACACATACACAGAATTTGTACATACAAATTATTTTCTTTCAGTTTAAGGAATATGAGAACAGTGAAGAACAATCTTGTGTACAGTCCACCATCTTGATCCAAACTCTATGTTTTCTACCTGATCACCCCAGTAATACTTTTAAATGATTTCTTTTTTCCTGAACGTGAAATAAATGCATTGACATTGGGGAGAATTTCTGAAATTCAGTGACATTAAAGATAAAACTATCTTTAAAATTACCATCTAGCTATGCAGCAAAATGTTAGTTCTGATTTTTTTTCTCATTAAGAAGTCCGTGCTTATATTTTACAAAATTTGGAGATTTCATACCTTTACAGCTTACTTTTCTCCATTTATATCAAGAGCATTTTCCAACCTTATTAAATAGCCTGAAAATGTTCTTTTAAATTGTCCCATAATTTTTTTTTTGGTACGGATGGTTCATTATTTATGCTAAATGACCTATGACAAAATAGATAATAAAGCTAGTTTACCTTAATATATGGGTTTATTGAGCTAGTATAAACCATATTTTCTAAGAATATTAAAGACATGGAAATCCACGTATGAGATAAGAACAATGTGTGAAAAAGCAGGCTATTGAGGCACAATTGTGGAGAAAGAAACAAATTTTGTAGAGAGAGAAATGAAAACATTTTTGTTATATGTATTTGCTGTTTTTCTAACTATAGAACTGCATCGTCATATGGAAAATCTGAAATATAGAAAAGAAAGTGTCCATAATTTCATCTTCCTCAAGTCACAGGGCTCTTATGAGGATTAATGTGACTGTCTGTAAAACTTTTAGCCGTATATCCTATTTTACAAGATGACAATTAAAACCAGGGAAATCTAGCTCCCTCATTATCATTCCTCCGCCTTATCTGGGTGAGAAGAGAATACCTTACACCATCACAGGTAAAATAAAGGCCATTAGTTTATTTGGAAATGTAGGAAAGCAGGGTGGAGAGATTCCAGATGATGATACTGGCTGCCTCCACATTTCATATCTTCCAAGTTAGGGACAGAAATACCTAGCCCTCATACCATTTAATAGGTCATTGGGCAGAATATTGTGGATCCCCAAATTCCCCACGTTTCTCAGGCCAAAGATTTTGGAGATGGGATAACTCTCCAGTACTACATTATAAGAAAGTAATTCTAAGGAAGCAAGAAAACTACATATACAAAAAATTACTTCTAAACTCTGTAGAATGACATACTGGTGTGTACATATTCAGACATATACACAACCTACACACTGAAAGAAAGAAAGTATGTGTAATTGTCATGCCATTATGTTTCACAAATAATGTGCCCCAGGTAATTCTCCACACCAGGATGTGATAAGCTCCTTTTCCTTAAAAGAGCAGTTCCCAGGAAGAGAAAACCACCCACAGGGCAAACAAATGGAGAACAAGCAGTTAACTCAGGGCCTTTGGTTATATACTTCAATGAATCTTTCACAACACCACAGAGAAGCCTGAGAAGACAATTTCTAACATCCTTTCCTCTCTAAAACTATGATTGTAATGTTAAATCATTACCTAACATTATGGATTCAGTGGACCTTACCACACAATGATATAATATATAACTACAAAACCATTTAAGAAAGAATTTTTATCTTGCATCTCATATGTCTTATACAGAGTAGGTACTCAATATTTGTTAATAAATAAATAAGTGGTATTAGCTGCCCTACTCCAGTCCAAAGAAATATCCCCAAATGAAACAAATACTCTTACACAAGCCTCTACAGACTAAAGTCTTAGAAACTCAAAGTCTCTCACAGTAGCTTTGTGTATCCCTTCAAAACCTCCAGACCACTGATCATGTGAATGTGTCCAGAACTCTGAAAATTATTAGGAGACCATCAACCTATAATATGTAGTGTTGTGCCTGAATCACGAGTCCCAGAGACCTCCAAGGAGCCAGCACGGATGCAAATACAAAAGGGTCTTTATTACAAGCTCGAGCAGGGGCTCACCAGCCTACCGGTGTCATGGCAGCAAGGTGAAGCCAAGAACAATAGCAAATAGGGTTTTTAAGGAGTAAGGGATGGGGGTGTTACAGTACATGTAGCATCATCACATAAGCCCCAATTACAATTACAGTTTTGACCATTTAGTATCTGTGAGGTGTTCGTTACTTTTGGTGGGACCCAATCATGACTCTTGAGAATCCTTTGAAAATGACCAATTATGAGGTGAGTTCAAAGGGCCCACGTGGGGTTCAGACAAGCGGTGAGAAATTGGCTAGTTTGTATCTGCATTTCCCAGCCTTCACTCAGACCATAGGAATGTTTCTTTTTACTTTTTGATTAGCTGAACTGAGGGCGGTCTGAGGATGGCTTTAGCCTTGAACAGTCTGAGGCTTTTCCTGTGACTGGGACTGGGCCTACGTGCAGCCCGAGGTTTCTCGTAATGGAGGACTTAATTTTTTTGCTCTTCAGTAAATAATAGCATCCACTTCCAAGAGTAGCTGTAAAGATTAAATAAAATAAATAAAAGTAAATTTCTTAACACATAAGCCAACTTATATAAGTATTTGTAGCCTCCTAACTAGTCATCCCCTAAAAAGTCTTTTTTATAAAAGTTTATAAAAAAGTTTATAAAAAAGTTTATAAAAAAGTTTTATAAAAAAGTTTATTAAAAAAGTTTCTTATATAAAAGTTTATAAAAAAGTTTATAAAAGTTTCTTACCAGGTTTTCCTATAAAACCACCTCACTCATGCCCCACCTCTAAACCTTTGCCCTCTTGCCCAGGACCTCAGTGTAAATAAAAAAGGGACTGTGGAATGATATTTTTTCCCTTATAGCCAGTTTCAGAGCAGTCTTTTAAATGCTATAATTTTCTGGGGAAGCTCAAATTATGAATAAATAAAACATTATTGAAAATAAATTTGGAAAAAAAAGAAGAAGGAGCTTCTGGGTGGCTCAGTTGGTTAAGCATCCAACCTCGGCTCAGGTCATGATCTCACAGTTTGTGGGTTCGAGCCCCACGTTGGACTCTGTGCTGACAGCTAGCTCAGAGCCTGAAGCCTGTTTCAGATTCTGTATTTCCCTCTCTCTCTCTGACTCTCCCCTGCTCATGCTGTCTCTCTGTCTCTCTCTCAAAAATAAATTTAAAAAAACATTAAAAATTTAAAAAAAAGAAAAAAGAAAATAAATTTGGGAGATACAATGATAATTTATAATTAGATGGGTGGTGGAGATAAGTATAAATGTTGTTAATTCCACTGTATAAAACAGATTATAATACATGCTATGACTACTAATTAAGCACGAGGGACCCAAAGGAGGTAGTGAATAGTTATGGCTGGGGAGATTGGGAAAGAAAACTTGTAGGCGTAAGAAAACTAAAGGAAGACATTCAGAAGATGGTAGAATATTGAGGCCTTTTCAATCTAAGCAGAAAATAGCTGAAGAAAAGGCACATAGGGAGGCATGGGCATAGAATATGTGAAAAGCTGGTCAGAAGCTGCTGGCTGAAGCACAGAGTATACCAGACTAAGAAACAGGGGATGTGGTTTGTGGTGGGAAACAAGGTTAGTTAACAGCCTCAAATGCAAGAAATTGATCTTCTATCCACTGCTGTATAGAAGCAGATTATATTCTAATTCCTCTGATAGTGTTGTGTTGGCAAGACTAAGTAGAGATGATTTTCCTTGACCTATCTGGCAGAAGATGGCAGTGATTCCCTAAGAAGACAGTGCTTCCCAGTGAAAATAGTTAATATAAGTGGTGCTAAGCACAGAACTGATCTTCCATCCCCACTCAGCAGAAGCAAGTGATATGGCATTCTGATTTCCTTGTCAGTGTTAGTATCACTGAGATTTAATGATATGTTATTCTTCCATAGTCATCTGGTGATATAAGGTATAGTGTTAGTGACCTCTATTCTATAGCTTCTTCTCACCCTGCTCCCCTATCAACACAACAGTAATGGTACTATGAATAATACAGAACAAGGCAGAGCTAGTCACCACTCTGATTCCCCACACCCTTTGTGTAAACGAAAGCCAATGAGGAGCTGACATTACATCCCTATCCACCATAATCAGAATGAATGAGAAGAACAAGATGGAACTAGGTGGTACTCAACTTTTCCTACACCCTTGGTGTTAGTGAGGTCCACTGTTCAGGTAAGGATCCACATCCACTTGGAGGTAGTGAGATGGTATGAGTCAGTACCCAACTTCACCATGAATATATTGGCAGACCTGACAAGGAGCTAAACTTCAATCTATCTAACACACGTGCAATGAGGCAGTGTAAGTCAGTACTTCACTTTTGCAAAGGGGGTGTCAGGAGTTCCCACTAGAA